CCGCACTTGGCTCCGCCGCTGCCCCGCCGCCTTCGCCTCAGGATGTGGAACTGCGGCGCTGCGGGAGACTCCTCCTCCGGTCCGGCGGGGACCAGACGCTCGGTGGCGACCTCAGGCGCTGGCTGGATGAAGAACTCCTCGCCCTGAAGGTAGAAGGCACCGCGCACGCCTTCACAGAGGCTGAGAGCGGCGGCGGAGCTGGGGTCACCATTCACCGTGCCAGAGTAGAAACAGTGCGCCAGGTCCCCGGTGGGGTCCAGACGCTGTGCCTCGGACCCGGGACTGCGCCCCACGGTCTGGAGGGTGAAGCCAGGAGCCAAGAAACCGCTGTCCGGCTGCAACTTCAGGTGCAGCTGCTGGCCAAAGGCGTCCAGACGGAGGCTCGTGGTGGAATCGTGACCCGGGGAACGCTCCAGGGAAGGCAGCACCAGCTCCTCGTCCTCCTCCGCGGGGCGCCCTTGTGCGCCCCGCACACACAGCAGCATTGCTACGGAAGCGATCAGCAGCAGCATGGGTGAAGGCAGAGAGCTCCGAGATTTAGCTGCACGCTGGACGTGCCCCACGTCGGAGCGGGGCCTCTGCTTGCGTGACCCCAAAGGGACTGTTGGTTGCATGACACCGCACACTGCAGCGCAGAGAAGCCTTGTTCTGGTTAGACGCACAGAGCTTCGCTGGCCTGCTCCGGATGCTTAAAATTCACGATCACTTTGATTTGAAAGTCCGCGCAGAGCTGGCAGCCGAAGCTCCCGGTCACTTAGAAAGAGGCGTTTTGGATCAGGCGGCGCGCGGGAACTTTTTATTCCAGCACAGAGTTGGAGGCACCGCAAGGCTGCTGCTGCCAGGAGGCTGCAGGAGGCTCGGGAAGCGCTCCGGGGCTGGGGACCCGTCCAGCAACGAAGCCTGGACTCTTAGTCCTCCGCCTTGGCCGCAGTGTGACTGGATCTGAGCAGGGATCTGCTCTCTCCGCGGTGTTGCGCGCTCTGCCCCTTGCAATAGCACCTGGCTCTGAGCTGCTTTCCAGCGAGTGCAAGATCTAGGCAGCCCGGGCAGCCCCTTTATAGCCACTTAGGATCCCTCCCCCCCCCTATCCCTACGACACCGCCCCCTGATCTCAGTTGGTGCTAAACCACGCTCTGCGCCGCGGGGCCCGAAGGGGGAGAGGGACAGCCTCCGCGCTGGCCTCACGCCACCGCTCGTCACTCTGGGGGTGTAAGACTCCGAAACAGCGCTATGAGCAGCACTTTGTACAGCTCAGACTGCTCTGGGGAGAAGGGTGAACTTTTAACATCATCTCGGCTGTAGATTCCCGGACCACCCTGCTTCCTGCCACTCTTCCTGTGCCCCGGCTGGGCTGCAGTTTCCACGAGAAGGGGTCGAATGGAAGAGATCCTTCACCAAGATTCCCCTGCGCCTTAGGGTCCCTCAACCCCCTAGACTCAAGAGCCCGTTCTTTCCCCAAAGTGGGATGTGAGCTACTAAAGCTGCCCTTTCTTTTTAAAAAGGCCCCGCGCGTCTCCATCTCTCTTCTACAAGTACCTCGGCTACAGTGTCCTCTCTCTTTTCCCCCAGCTTTTCTTGGATTCTGTGCTTCCCAGGGTTGGAATGTTTGAGTGAGGGAGCCATGGGGCACTTCAAGGCTCTGGATTTTAAAAATCCACGGGAAACGACCTTAACCATTTCATCAAACCTTAGAGAAGTCTGGGGGCGCGCGCGCTGGGGGTGGGGTGGAGTGGGGGGTGCCCTGGTTCTTCTTTCCTGAATAAGGCGATCTGGAGCCAGCTTCGGTTCCCTAGAGACTGCGAAGGGACTTGTGCTTGCTTCACTGGGGAAGTAACTCCCGCCCAGTCCGCGTACTTCCAAAATCCAACAGCAGCTGCTGCAGGCGGCAGGCCAGGCGGACAGATGCGTCTGAGAGCCCCGCTTTACTACCAGGGCCAAAACAGGGGTGCGGGGAGGAGGAAATCGGGTTCCTCCTACCGGGAAGGGAAAGGCTGCATCCGCGTTACGAAAGCGACAAAAGCTGAGCCCTTCCTATCCCGGGGCCTCTAAGAAAGAGCCAAGGGGCTCCTCCACTGAAAGGGAGGGAGGGGCTCCGTGAGCCAGAGGAAGGAAATGGTTCACAATGCTCTCACTGGCGGAAAGGCACTAAGACAATGTAGAGAACGGCAGCCCACGTCCCCCCGCAGACTGGCGCGCTCTCGCCGCGGTGCTCGGCTCCGGCCGTTCCCAGTTCTGGGTTCCTAACTTGCTGCCCCACCCCCATCTGTTGCTCCAACCGCTCCTAGTTGATCACTTCCCCTTTGCTCCTCCCCACGTCTTCCTAGCTCTGTGGGCCTCAGACAGTCCCCTGGAGTCCTCCAAGGCGTATACTTTCCACCATCTTTTCTCCCAGGGTTCGAGATTGCCTACATGAAAAACAAACAAAAACTTTGTTTCCTTCTCCGGGGACGACCAAATGAAAAAGGAAAGGAAGGGAAGGGAAAGGGAAGGGAAAGGAAGAGAAGGGAGGGGAAGAAGGGAAGGGAAGGGAAGGAAAGGGAAGAGAAGAAGGGAAGGGAAGGGAAAGGGCAGGGAAGGGAAAGGGAAAGAAGAAAAGGAAAGGAAAGGAAAAGTGCATGCCAGAAACAAGGCTACTCCAACCTCCTCCAAAGTGCTAACACCACTTCCTGGTGCTTGTACCACTCCACTGGAGGCTTCTTCAGGTCACACTCCCAGCTGAACTAGGAACATCAAGCAGGCTTGAGCTTCCACCAGGAAACATAGATGTTATCTGTCTTCCTTCCTTTCGGCCTCTTTATCGCATTCTTCAGTTTTAACTGACGGTCACAGTCCGGAGCGGGACAGATTGATTTGTGAGATTTCCCGTGGGGCCTTACTCTGTGTCTAAAAGCCCATGCTTCACAAGTGGGCTTTCCTGAAAGTACCCCCAAACCCCCAGTCCGCCCACTTTGCTTGAGAGACATTTCTGTTTTCTGTTTCGCCGTTTTGTTTTGTTTTATCATTTCATTTTGTGTAGCTTCCTTCCCGTCTGTTCTCTCTCGCTTGCTAACAGGCAAGATTAGACACTTGTGGGAACAAATACGAACGGTGGTGGCGTTCATCAGTGTATCTACAAACCCCTTCCTTGCTTAGAAGAATGCAGCAAAGCAAACCCAGTGAGGGATGAAGACTGAAGGCATTTGAGGCAGCTGGGGGGATGGGAGTTCTACTAGATCCTTAATGTATGTGTGATCTCCATGAGTTGAAGCAGGAAGGGAAATTCACAAGACCACCAGAAAAATATATAACTTTAAAATCAAAGTGTAGTATATTTCAGCCTAGCTACTCTCCCACAGAAAGTTTAGCTTTCAAAGTTTGGCTTTGAGCCCATTTCTCCTTCACGTGTGTTCTTATTGGAAGGTATTTTCATTTGGGAGTACATTTTGAATCTCAAATGGGTTACTTCAAATCCATTATAATTTTTTCATATTTCATGTTCTGTATCCAAATAGGCCTGGAAAAAAAAAGCACCGAGTTAAGGGGGAAAGGGCTGCCAGGAACATGGCTTTTATATTCTCTGTGTTTCTCTCCAGATTTCTGTTCTTTTGCATAATGGCTCCAATCTGTTGTGCACCTGTAGTTCTGGGAAATGATTCTTTTTTAATCGCTTCAACAGAGACATGGGTGTTGGAGTTGCCAATTACTAAACTGAAAGATTGCACATTCAGAAGAGTCTCAAGACCATTTAACATTTTAAGAACAGTGCTCTTCAGGTGTTTGAGGCTTTTGGCACACAACCATATACAATATGCACATATTTATAAGCAAAATGTAAATGGAAAGAAAATATGCTAATGAAGAAACAAGGTCATAGGGTTCCATTCATTAATGGCCAGAGTGACAGTGATGAAACACGGAGTCTTTGTAGGAAGATTCTAGTGTTGCTCACATACAAGCCTTGCAAGTGCCTCTGCTGTGCTAGCTAACCTCTGCTTGTTGTACTTCTGGCTTTCTTCCTAGGGAATATATTTCTTCCTATGTGAGCTCGTAGAAACACCATTTTAAACACAGTTTAATAGCTAGATTTGAACACATAATTTTGTAATTTGCAGAGATGACCTTAAACCATTCAGCTAAAAATGAAAAGTTTGACCTTCTAAAAAGAATGCTTGTCCTTTCTGGACAGACTGGGTCCCTGAAAAAGAAAAACAAACAAAGCCACATGGATTTTAAAGAGAACGAAGGAAGAATGAAAGTGTTCACTTCAGTCTGCACCTTCCATGTTGGTGCATCTCAAGGACCCACAGAGTAAAGACACAGAATAAGTTTCATGAAGTTTTCATTAAAGAGAGCACCCCACAGGCAGCTGCAATATGGAGGGGCTATTAGGGTTGTTGGAGTGTAAATATTGTCTAGAGCAACAGCTAATGAGCATATTTCATAACCATGGAAGGCTTTTGATTTGGGGCCCATACCTCACGCTTTGCCAATTAGCAATGGGAAAGCTGATTTGCATTAGTCTTACTTTAGAGCACAGATGCACAGGAGTCAAAAGTTGGACAAATGATTTTTTTATATCCTAATTTGAAAATCAGAAAGGAAAAAACATCTATTTAAGCAGGCTGTGAGTTTAATAAATATCTAGTCTGAGAAAATATTAATTCTATTTGGGTATCAGGTTTCTATAAACCTGCAAATTTGCATATTTGAAAATCTGAGGGCTGTATCTGTCTAATCTACTGCCTTAAAATATATAGCGGAGGTGAACCCTAGAGGGGTTAATTAACTTGCCCAAGATGATGTGATATGAAATTAGGACCTCAGAAATTACTACACTGGTCATGATGTTTAATCAAATATTTTGATATTTAATCTATTTGGTATGTAAGAATGTTATTAGAATTATGACTTACGTTCTTTTTACAATTGTTGAATTTGTTTCATTATAAATAGGAATTTTGCAGTAGTAGAAAAAAAAAATCTCGCCTTAAAAATTCACCACCTTCATTACTTCTTTCTTAACCCACAAGGTGGCGGTAGTCTACAACAAATGGTGCTTAGTTTTCTTTTCCTGATAAATTTGCAAAGGTTTTATGTCTTTGCAACCATAGGTAATCAATTTCTTTTACTGTTGTAAGGATCCTATAAATTAATTTAAAATGTTGCAATGCTAATTGTATTCAAATGTTTCCAAGAACTCAGCTAGTTTTTAGTCATATGACTTGGTTAGCTTAATTCAGGTATTAGCTAGACTTTTTTTTTTTTAAAGAGAATTATTTTTGGCTGCTTTTATTTGTCATAGTTGAGAAACCTCTTCAATTTAAAAGAAAAAAGAAATCAGTCTTGCAATCCACTAAGAGAGATTACAGCTCCATTTGCTCATTTTCTATGCATAGTTTTTTTCAGTGCACACTGCTACTTGTCACTTGGTACTGACTTTAATTACTTTTCCAGATTTACAATATTTTCAATGGCCACAACAAAGAAGTTAGTAGGAAAAAAAGAAAGAATGAAAGAATAGAATAGAAAAGTGGGGTGTAGAGTGGGGGCAGGGGTGAAGAAAATGTTCAGCCACCAGGGGGCAACAAAAGACAAATTTTAAAATAGCTGTTAGCCAGCCAGTTCCTGCAATGTTTGACTATCCCAAATATAAGTGACTTCCCAATACCTTAAGATCTCAAAGTCATATTATAAGGATGTTTTATTTCTAAATAGAAAGTAATACTAGCACAATTTTTTTAGTTTGATAAATATTGGAATGAAAAGCAGATAATGTCAGCCAGCAGGAGGCACATAAAACACAAAAAAGATTGTTTGAACTATTTTGCTGCAGCCTTTTCCCAGCACCAAGCATGTGGTTTGTTGAACAGCCAAAAGAGACCAGAGGCAAAAACCTAACCTCCATTACAACTGTTCAACTAGCACTGGAAGTCAGATATCTAAATGTTTTGGCAGTGAGTTTTGCTCTTGACCCCTAAAAATGGTAAACCTCCAGGCCCCTGTAACCTCAGAAGGACTTGTGACTTTGAAGTACAGCCACACCCCTTTACATAGTTAAACAAATATTC